GGACAGTGATTGTCAACCAGGGTAGGAGGGACCCATGGGGTGCCAGAAAATCCTTTGAAGGGTGCAGCAGGACATATGAGGAGATAAGCAGAAAAGAGCAGGTTCAGGCTTTCCCTGCCTAACTGCTTCCCCACCCCGCTGTCTGCCCCTTTTGCAAGAAGATATGTTTTTGAAATGAGGTGCTGTTCAATTCACAAAAAATATTCAGGGGTGCCTTGAGTCTGTCATGGGGTGCCTTGAGTCTAAGAAGATTGGGAACCACTGTTTTAGAAAAATGGGTTACCATATTTTCGCACAAATAATACGTTCCCCCAAAAACAGCTGGCAGATATTGAGGGTGCATAATATGTGAGAAATATGGCAACATCACTTTCTGCTGCTCATGGATGAAACTGAAGGTAAAATCTGCAGGATGCAAAAGGGAGCAGAACAATAAGCAAGCTTGGTTCCCTACCTGCTGCTACTGGGCTACTTACTACAAGGGAAGATCTTTTCTTCTTCAGTCTGCCTTTCAAAAATAAGGTGTGTATTTTGATTGGGTACAAAAATAAGGTCTGGGTCATGTTACATGCAAGAAGGTATACTATATTTCCACAAGTTTTCCAGAATTGCTTTGTATTTCATAAAATTAATTTTGTTCATTTTATTAGGCATAAACAAATAGTGGGTTAGCTCATGTAATCCTGTGATGATCAGCAGAGCTTTATTCAATTACAGCAGCTGAAAACTTGACCCAATCATTTTGTTATTTTTACTGAGAGGAAAATTAACTCTGTATATCAATGTAGTTTGCAATAAGACCAGAATTGCTTGGTACTGATATTTTTCTTCCTCTTTGGACACACACTGATATCTCATTGCTATGTTATTTGACAGCTCAGTGGTCTTCAGCTTAGTTGCTCTTTGTGGCATTTTTATAGCGCCTCCAAATTACTAAAATGAGCAGTACTAAGACCTTTGCAGATAATAATCCCTTCTAGTCTGCCCTCATAGATGCTTTTGTCACTAAGATACATTTGTAGAACATTTTATTGTAGAAGAACCCTCTAAGGTTAATAATCAGTAATCAGCTTTGCAGTTGCTATTCTAAGCACCTATAATGGTGAAGAGACCCCATAACAGTTCATTCCAGAAGGGCAAATGATGATTACCTGAAAAAACAATTTATGGCATTTTAAAGAAGCATTGTTATGTCCAGTGCCCTTTGGACCTCTTTCAACATACAGACTCTGGGAACATTTATTATTTTCCTTTATTTTTTGTCTGAATTTGAACACAAGAAAATATTCTCAACTATCAGTTTGTATGTAATAGGCCTGATTCTAAAGTATTCTGGGCCCTACTCGTTGTTGTCTTGTGTTTCTTTTCTGTCAGCATAGAGCATAATACTGGGTGCATCTACACATGCATTTGATCTGGAATCAGTTTACGTGCAAGTAAACTACACACAAGTAAATGCTCCCAGCCAGGTGTCTGCACATGCAGGGAAGCGGGAGCAGATCTGGGTGTTAGCCCAGGAGCTGGGACATGGTACCCTACCCCCGGGGGGTTGCCTGTTTCCGGGACAGGGACAATGTCCCCCTGAGCCGGCAGCAGGAAGGTCCTGGTCCTGGATCCCTGATGGGGGCAGAGGACTTGGAAATTGCTGCAGGGAAGGGGCATGTCCCAGCCCCCTGCCCCATCCACCAGTTGGGAAGCTAGCAGCCTGCTCAATGCTAGCTGCCCTGCCAGTGGATTGGGGCAGGGGGATGGGACCTACCCCACCTCTGCAGTTCTTTCCAAGTCTCATGCCTCAATCACCCAATCAGGCACAAGGCTGGGACCTGCCCTTGAGCAGGACAGTTCGCAGCCCCTGTTCCATGACTGCAGGATGGTGGCTGGGGAGCCTGTTTCCTGCTCAGCTCCATAAATGAGGAACTAGGCAAGGCACAGGCTGCGGTGCCTGTTTCCCATCCAGCTCTGTGCTCATAGAGCCAGCCTGTTCCCACCCAGCTCCATGACCACAGAGCTGTTCAGGGAACAGATTTCCCAGCTCCCCACCAGCTGGGAGCTCCCAGTACCAGCTCCATAGCGGCGGGGTCAGCACTGGGAGATCTTTCTCTCCTAGCCTGAGCTCTGCGGTTGTGGGGCTCGGGCTGGGGGACCCTTATCTCCCAGTGTCCATTCCACAACTGTGGGGTGGGCGCTAGGATATCATAATCCCCCAGCCTGAGCCCCTCACAGGGCTCACGCCAGAAGATAACGATCTCCCAGTCTCAGCCCTGCAACCACAGAGCTGGTGCTGGGCAAAAAGGAGCTCCCAACTCCCCTCTCCCCGATTGTGATGGTGAAGCTGGGGCTGGGAGATCCACAAGAGCTACTGTGCCATTACTAATCGTGAGTAAATTTGCTACTTGCATTTGCAAGTTTACTTGCAATTAATGAGGTTTACTGTGCAGTAAGCATGTGCACATGTAGATGCACATGCTTACTGTGCAGTAAACTACGCTACTTCGCAGTAAAGCATCTTGTGTAGATGCTCCCACTGTTACATATCTTCCCAACATGTTCTGCATGTAAAGTTACACCAGTTTGGGGCAAACTTCACACATTGTGTAATGATAATTACAAATTATGAGCAAATGCTTTCTTCTAACACTGGACAAAGAACTTTATTACAATTAGAAAATTCACATAATCATTAAAGCATTCTTCTTTACACTGTCTCTCTGCCTTCCTGTAGACCTTGTGTCCAGAACCTTTTCCAGCCCCTTCTTCTGACTGGCTTTCTCCTACATAATTAATAAAACAATACACTTATGCCTCTTGTTGATGAAAAAAGTCTGATGTCTTTTATAACATGCCACATAGATTTGTGGAATGCTTCAGTGAAGGAGCAGTAGTATAACAGTTCGTTTAGATTTTTGCAAGACACAAAGGCAATATGTTAAAAAATGCTGGTGTCTTTGTACATCTTGATTCAAGCAGTATTCTCTATTCAGTCACATTCTCCCATACATGATGTCAAAAAATTACATAAAGGTAAGACTATTTCTAACTTGAATTACTAACTTCCATGGAACTTTACTAGAACAATTTAATACATTATTACCCAATCCCATATAAAGATTAGCATAATTCATTCATTGATTTATGTACCCAGAGTTCTCAAGAGACTGGCACAGCTTTTCATAAGATGTAAGAACACATGATTTAGGAATCCTTTCTTCAGTGACTCAAAGGCTCTTTGGTATTTGTGCAGGAAAAGTTGCTTTTTGTTAGCCAATATAATGATGCTGTCTGCTCTACAAACTATTATACATATATCTTAGAGAATCTGCAAAGACTTCCATACCACTGTACCTCTTCCAGGTATACAGAAATGTTCTAGTACCTTTTAATGGGTAGTTTCTAGGGCTGTAGCTCTAATCCAGATTCACAAACTACAAGACAATGGCAGAAATGGAAAGAAGTGGAGGAAAATAAGTAGCTAACACAGTGTAGTAAGAAAAGAGAGTATTAGGATCCAAAGTCATAGAGTAGGGCTGGAAGGGGCTTCCAAAGGTTATCTAAGTTGTAGTCACTGCCTGAGGCAGGATCATCCCTATCCAAACCATCCCATACAAATCCATTGTCTTAGCAGAACTACACAGTCAGTCCTGATAAGCACAAGACATGTCATCCTAATCTGATACAGGTAAAGCAGGGGGACCATAGCAGCCAATGTCCTGCTGCTGCAAAGTTAGTTAAAATATGTTTGAGAGATCCAAGGAAAAGGACCAAACAGCCCTGCACAGTTCATACCAATCTGACTATGGGGTAAAATTCTTTCCTGACCCCATATATGGCAATTGGTCTGACCCTGAGTAGAAAGACAAGACCCTGTAGCTAGGAAAATGCACGTTTAAGTCCCAGCACACCCAATCAAAATCCCCATCCTTGGCTGCAACCAACACTCAATGCTTCTGAGGAAGGCTTAAAAAAACCTCTCTAACACATGTAGCAACAGAAGGGGAAAAATTTCCTCTCAGCCATGTGGCACAAGCCTGGGAAAATTCCATAGTAGAACATACGAATAGATACTCCTGGATCATCCCTGACCAATGCTTGTCCAGTGTCTTCTTGAACAACTTCAATGATGGAGCATCCACAACTTCTCTATGTAGTCTATTCCACTGCCTCACTGTTCTAGTAAGTTTTTCCTCATATCCAATCTAAACCTGCTTTGCTACAACTTAAAGCCATTGGTCCGTATCTTACTCTAAGCAGCAAGAGAGGAAAGGTGTTTCCCTCTTCTTTATGGCAGCCCTTCAGGTATTTGAAGACTCTTTTCATGTCCCCTCTTAAATGCCTTTTCCACAAGCTGAACATGCCTAGTTCCTTCAACCTCTCTTTATATGACCTGCCTTACAAGCTCTTTATCATTTTTGTCGCTTTCCTCTGGACCCTCTCTAACTTCTCCACATCCTTTTTAAAATGTGGAGCCCCAAAATATGCTCTGAGTACATCTACATGAGATGCTATTGCACAGTGGTTACTGAGCATTTATTTAGTACTTGTCTAATAAAGTACTAAATAAATGAGAGTTACTGCACAGTAGTGCTGGCAAATGCCTTTGTAGTGACACTACTGTGCAGTAGCCTAATAATACTGCATGGTAATGTATTAGCGCTGTTTGTGCTGTGATGTGCTACTGCACAGTATTATTCAGCTACTGCGCAGTTTGCATCTCATGTAGATGCACCCACTATATTCTAGATGAAGCCTAACCACTGCCAAGTAAAGAGGCACTATCGCCTCCTGTGTCTTGCATCTAATGCTTCTATTGATGCATCCCAAAACTGCATTCACCTTTTGTGTAGCTGCATCACTCTGCAGACTTATATTGGACTCCCAGATCCTTCTCAGCAGTACTGCCGTTCAGCTAGGTGTCATTCATTTTGTATTTTTGATTATTCTTCCCAAGGCTTTAGCTCCAGCCCAGCTTTCCTATCTGTCAAGATTCTTCAAAAATGTGCTTATGCCTTCCAACATGTTTGCAGTCCTTCCCAGAATTATGTCATCTTCAGACTTAGTCAAAAAGCTCTCAGTTCCAGCATCCAAATCATTAATGAACACACTGAACAGCTGGGCCCAGGTGAGACCCCTGTGGGACTCCACCTGAAACCTCCTACCATTCTGACATAGATCCATTTATAACTACCTTTTGCTTGAGGCTATTGAGCCAGTTGTCTATCCACCTTATAGTACTTTTGTCCAGCCCATATTTTGCCAGTTTGTAAGGTCATGTGAGGAGTCCCACCAGGTTTCCGTAATCCCTACTAGATTGTAATGCCCACTGGAGATTAGGAGGGTTAGCTCCTCCTGCTTGTTCCTCATGCTCCTGGTATTAGTGTACAGGCACCTGAGTCCTCCTATTGACCCCTGGCTTCCTGTCATGCTGAAGGAGAGCTATTCCTTCAGCTTCCACAAGAGTGGCTCTCCTAGTGTCCCTATCTATGGAGCTTTCTTGTATGTCAGTCCCTGGGCAAGCTCGATCAGTGTTTCCCCATCCCCCAGGAATCTTAGTTTAAAGCTCTATCTAGAAGATAAGCCATCCTGGCTGAGATCAGGGACTTACTGCTCTGCGTGAGATGGATACTGTCCCTTCCCAGGAGTCCTCTGTCCCTGAAGTGCACACTGTGGTTGAGGAAGTCTCTCATTCAAATTTAGGTGTTATCTCTTTTGTACTGAAAAATGCAAGTTTCTTTCAGTAAGAAGGATAAATAACAAAACAAGAAAGCACAAAAGTAAAATTTCCAGGAGAGGGCACACAGCAAGTCTCTTATGCAACAGTCTACACAAAGAAGTACCCAAAATGGCTATAGAGAACAGTTCCTAGGTTGACAGGTGCAGTGCTGAGAAAACAAAGCTATAGTACTGGCTAATAATGACCTTCAAATATGCCAGAGGCATGCTTGGGAAAGCTACTCATTAGATCTGCTTGGTAGATTACATATCAGTAATAGGCTTTATTTAGATAAGAGGTATCAGGAATATTCTGAGGTCTTATTGGCTCAAAATAGCTGAATCTCAATATATGAATTATGATATCTGCTACAGTGGGAACCTTTTACTGTGTAGGTGAGCTCAGGAAGAGTGGTGTGAGACCATCTGTCGGCAAACAGCATGCTGACAAATCCTGGCAAAAAAAGTAAAGAAATACATTTCTGATCAGACTTTGCAAAAATGAAAGTGAGACTTTGCTTGTGGAAAAATAGGATCTGTCACAAAACAGTCTGTGTTCTGTTGTGACATTTCCTAGAATAAAAATGGTGTCACACAGCTCCTGACTAGATAGCTCTTATTTTTGGAATTCATTGCCAGGCAAGACCACTCAAGCGCAAAGCCAAGTGGTTCTGTCATGCTAAAAGCTACATGCATATGCTGCTCTTAGTCCATGCTTGGCCATTGGTGGGGGGTGACAATAAAGAGACTGAAGGATGTGTACTTAAATGCATGTAACTCATTAAATAAAAAAACACCAAAGCACCAGTTCCATGCTTCCTTAACAATCTGTTTAAAGTGCCCCCAAGTCTTTCTTAACAACTAAGGGTCTTTGTCAGTTATGGACTGGCATCTTTCTGCTCATCCTTGCTTTGGTGTCTTTGGGACTTTCTACAGTTCCTAGCCTTGGCAGTAACAGGGATAAGACAGCCAGGTACTGTGCTGGTGTAAGGAACAGAATCAGAGGCCTGCCCAGTTAAATGGGAAGGAATGTGGAGCAGCAAAAGGCTAATAGGTGGAAGACAAGGCAGGTGCAAGTGACATCTGCCAAGCTATTCATCTCCAAGTAAGAATACTGACATCTATGTATTCAAGAACAGGCAGCAATGACAAATACAACCTCTCTAGCTTGCTCCCAAATGCCTCAGCTCCTTTGGAGAAAAAAGCAAGGAAAGACATTATGGGATTCAGTGTCTCTGGATATTGACCACTTGGATTTTGATCTGCCCTAGCAGGGGAGAAGAAATGGGTCTTGGATCTGGCCAGATGTTCTCTTTTTCTTCCAGCATCCTTCAGAACAAAGGAGCCATTTCCTCTCCTATCTAGATAGGTTTTGTTCAGCTCTTCCTGCAGCCACACCAAATACACTTCTAATGGATAGAGTACACTCCTGTCAGCTGAAAGAAGGAAGAATCCCTTTGCATCAAGTCATTTTTTTAAGAAGTGCCTGCTCACAATACAGAAAGACCTGACTGCTAGACTTATTTCTTTGGGATCAACTGAGTTAGTAAAAGAAATGTGCAGAGTATTCACGGGCTCAGGTAAACAGCTTCCACTTATGTATAAAACAAATTAAACACATAACAATAAATATCAGCATGAAATGATTTTATAAGTGTGGCCATGGTGCTTGAAATGAAAAATCCAAAGAGAATTTTTCCCAGCTCTCCTGCAGGCTCTATTTACTTTTAACTTAACTAATCATGCTCTGAATTGCTGACAACAAAATAATTGAACCATTGTCCCTGTCACATCAGTGACTAGTTCATGCTTTGCCAAATCTTACAGCTGACGTTGGGTAGTACAATTGCAACATTGTTGATTTTTCAGTATAACCCTATAGAGTGTGGCATGAAAATTAGGGAGCCTAACTCCTTCCCTGCTCTCCAGCTAGGGCAATCATATTACATGTGTGTGAATGGCCTGCAAAATTTTCTCATTCTCGGTATAACTTGACATCCACCGGACTGACTGAATCCACAAGGTCAAGGCAACAGAAAATCAGATCCCCAGAGGGTCTAGTTAATGAAAAAGGAAAGAAGTAATTTGTAATGCAAGGATAAAGCATGGTGTTGATAACATGTTTCTTTCATGATGGTATTAGCTGTATAGATAGTGGACTTCATCCTCACCTATGCAATGTGAATAAAGGAGAAGAGAAAACTGACAAGTTATTAAGGAAATTGTTGGGGATGCTAGATAGCTTCTTGCAAAGAAAGGGCATCATAGTAGGTCATCTAATTTACAGCTCCTCCTGTCATCCTTTCCTCGGGAATTCAAGGCACAGAGAACAGAGTTAGAACAGGAATGACACAGAGAAGTTCAATGGAAGAAAAACAAAGGGGAAGTATGCAAGTGAATTAGTGACCCGACTTGGCAATGACAGCAGCTGTGCTTCAAAGACAACAGAAGCTTCTGTGAATGATTAATACAGTATACAAGAGATGGGGAATTTAGCTCAGCAGGAACAGGGCAGATTAGAAGTGGGCTGTGCATATGTTGGTGGCAAAAGAAGAGAAGTTTGCTGTCACCCGTTCTATGGCATTTCACCTGTTGTATAAATACCATTGACTAAGAAATACTGTTCTGTAGGTGTGCTTCTTGAAGATACATTTCCTTTTCTGGAGCCATGCATCCTGTAAATGCTCAGCTCCATCTGCATGGTAATGAAGCAATAATAAAGGTAATTTCCAGAGCACTTATCCCCATTGAAACACAGCCAATAGATCTGTATAGAAGACTTGGGGAAAATTAGTGCTTCTGAACAAAATAATCTACTGAGTAAACTGATATCAGAAAGTGATTCTAATCTTGGAGCCAATGCTAATGAGGAGACACTGCTCCAAGGAAGTAGCCATCTTGGAACAAATTTTCAAAGGCACTTCAAGACACAGAGAAGAACCTAGTAAGATTTTCAAAATTGCCTAAGCAGCTTGGGGGCTAAGTGCTTGGGCACCAATTTGCATCTTTGGGTGCTTAAATACTTTGGCAAATCTGGTTCTTTCAGTAAAGACAGACCTCTGTACATTGATGAAGATGAGGGAAAACTGTGTGGGCACTAACACACATATATACACAACCTGATTCTCCTTTCAGTTGCACCTGTGTTAATCAGGAGAAGCTCCAGAAAAGCCAGCGGACATCTACTGATTCTAAGCTAACCTAAGTGAGAGGAAAATGGGACCTGCACTTTTACAGCTGGATTTTTCCTTTTTCAGGCAGCTATATTGCAGCTTTTTCTTTCTGGCATTTCACATATTCAAATGTATGAGTTAAAAATGCATTCTGATAAATTCAAGAAAATTTGGCACTGGCTTGAAACTACCAAACTGAGCATGTAAGTAGCCTAGTTTAACACTTCATGTTATGGTTCTTCCCATGCTCCCACCCCCTGTTTCATCCTATTGTTTATTACACTTACTTCTTGCATTCTGTTTGAAATGAGATGGAAAGCTCTTTGGAGCAAGGAGTCTGCACTGTGCACAGGAACTACAGAAATAGATCACAGCGGGAGTTAAAATGAAATACATCTAGGAAATCACATAATATTTACTAAATTGACTGATTTTACAGCAGCTAAAAAGGAATTAGCCTAATATATTAGCTTTGAGGTTAAGAGTGAGAGATGTTAAGGCAAGGTGATCTGAGGAAAGTAGCAGTTTTTTAATTAAACTTCATAAGAATAACAGTAGTCTCCACAGATTTTTAGAGTTTAAGGTCAACAAGGGACCATTAGATCATCTAGTCTAACATCCTTTATATTGCCATTGCCTTTTATCCTGGGTACCTCTACACTTTCATTAATGCACTGTAGTTACTGAACATTAAGTTTAGAACTTGGATAACCAAGTACTAAATCAATGCACAGTAACTCGAACGACGGTGCAGTAGCAGCAGCACATGGGTTTTTTTGGATGTTAACCATGCAGTAGCCTAATACTACTGCGCAGTAGCATATTAGCATAGGTTTTGCCCAGCATGCTACTGCACAGTGTTATTAGTCTACTGCGCAGGTAGCATCTTGTGTAGATGCACACACTGAGCTTAATAACTTGGGTTTGACTAAACCAGGGGTGTGAAACTCATCAGGGTGTGCAGGCTGGAGGATTGGTGCAGACTGATTCATGGGCCAAATCGGACCCACAAATTGGCCGCACTTTCTGGACCCAGCATGTGTCCTGAAACAGCCAGTGTGGGCACCATGTGCTGCCCAATCCTGCTCCAGCCACTCCAGGGTGTCATGAAGAGAGAGAGAGAGACAGTGATGGCACAAACCAACACCGGCAAGAGCCAATTAAGGAAAGGAGGGAGCCGCGTTTTCGAAGCAGCTGGTCGATGAAGCTAGAGAGGTCCTGGATAGAGAAAGAGGGCAGAACAGCCCCAGATGAAAACAGGGAAGGAGGCGAGTCATACTGGAATGAAAAAGGAGCTGATTGGGAATGTGGGTTGAAGGGGAGTGGAATGCTGGCCGGCTGGGGAAGCTGGAGAACTGCAATGAAATGGGAGATGCTGACATAGGATTCATTGTTGGGAACAATCCAGGAGCTGGCGCGGCTTCAAGAAACAGAAAAGACGACTGAGTCCTACAGTACAAAGTAAAACTGTTCTTATATTTCTTTTCAAGTTGTGAGTCAGGCTAGAGCAACATTATAAAGAAGAAATGAAAAAACAACCGAAACAATAAGCCTGATATCATTTAGAGACTTAAAGGGGAAGGCACCTTTTTTATTTCCATTGGACTGATACTCATAAAAAAAAAAAAAGGAAAAAAAAAAGGGAAATTAGGCTTGCTGAGCTGAAAGGCCAGGAACTAATTTTTTTTTCTGATTTCTGATTCTACTGTGTGCTGCTCAGAGAAGTATCTAGGACATAATACTTACCTCCACTGAAGAAAAAGTTGATCAGTAGCTTGAAGAACAGACTCCTGTCACTTCTTTCAGCCCAGGATACGCCAATACCTAAGAAATATGAGAAACCAATGTAAAAAGTTTAGATAGATACCTAATAAAAGAACCTTGTTATAAAGGACACACTGTGAGTTTTCATCTTTTGTCAACCAGGTAATTTTTATGAGAAAATTCAAAACCAGAAGGGAATTGATCAACAACCCCTTTTTTTCCAGTGGTGTTTTAAGTTGTACCCTCCCGGTATAAATCCTTTAACATCAAGATGTGGCAGGTGAGATCTGGGGTCAGCACTGAAGAAAAAAAGAAAAATGGGGAAAAAAAATCAGGTCATTAGAGATTAATTTGGACAACAATGTTTTTCATAGAACAAGAGACTAGACAGAACCCCTCACACAGGGCTGTGCTGCACACAGCAGGCACTCTGCAGGATGTGGACTGAAGTGGGTGCTGTGTGCAACACATGGGGCCATCTGGCATGCCAGCCATGTTGTCTGTGGGTCACTCTGAGATCTTCAGGCAGCACCAGGATGATACAGATCTGCAAATTGTACCTTTGACACCCCTGAACTAAAGCATTTTTCAAGAATGGCAGCCAATCTGAGTTGGAAAAACTGAAGAACTGAAGAATCCACCACTTCCTGTGGTAGTTTCTTGCAGTGGTTAATCACCCTCAGCATTAAAAAACTGACTTGATCTGTTTCCAGTTTGCCGCAGCTTGTTCTTTTATGTTTTGTTGGATTAACATGCTCATAAATTCTCCACATTTTCTCCCTGTAAAGATACTTGGATACTATCAAAGTCATCTCTCAAGCTTCTTGCTGATAAGCTAAACAGACTGAACTCTAAATATCTCACCCAACACATTCTCTCCCACATTCAGAACATATTTTGTGGCTTTTTTCTGCACCTCTTCCAACTTTTCAATGTCATTTAAAAATGTTGATATTAGAACTGCATTAAGTATTCAAACACAGGCCCTTCCAGAGGTAAAACCACCATCTTACTTCTGCTAGCTGTTCTCCAGGTTAAATATCTACAGATCACGCTAACCCTTTTTGCCACAGCCTCGTGCTGGGTATTCACATGGAGTTGTTTGTCTGCTAAATCCTTTACCGATTCACTGCTTGCAGATCTCAGAGTCACTGCTTTCCAGAATACAGTGATTCATTCTGTGGGTATTGCCTGCATTCTTTGGTCTGAAACGTACGACCTTGTCTTTGACTCTTATTAAAATTCATTTTATTTGAATGGGTTCAGCTTACTCGGCAATGTAGCTCATTCTATCTGACTCCCCTGCCCTGATCATTATTTACCACTCTGACAATTTTGTATAAACGACAGATTTTAATCATTACTGATTTTATATTTACTTATAGCTCACTGATTTAAAAAAAAAACATTGAATAGTGTCTGAAAAAGTATTGAGGCCACCAGAAATGCCCCACCCCCAAGGGTGATTTCCTACTGGCAATTTCCTGTTGCACCTTTAGATCTGTTATAGCTAGTTCTTAATCCATGGAATGTGAGTTTAATCAATACGGACCTGTTTTTCACCAAATGTCATTAACTGCTGTTAATTTTACTCCCATCCTTTTATTCTTTGTTAGTTGAATCCCATATCAGCTTTTCCATTATTTTACCAGGAACTGAAGACACGTTAACTGACAATTAACTAAATTATCTCCTTGCCCTTTTCAAATATTAGTCTAATGCTAGGACTTTTCCAATATTCTTGTATTTCTCTGGTGTTGTAAGATTTATTACAAATTAACAGCAGCAAGCCACAGATCTCTGCAGCCAAATCTTTTGGGGATCTTGAGTGTTGATTTGAAAAAGCTTTTCCTAGTAGGTGAGATTTAACAGCCTCCTCAGTTATGAATGGTCTGAAAAGCAGTTTATTATCCTGATGGGCTATAACAGGGGTCAACAACGTTTCTGGCCAGAGTACCAAGAACACTCTAACCTTGATCCATGCCTCAACTTGGCATTCCTGGGGCAGATGACAGGGAAGCCGCGAGGGGCCCAATCCTCGTCGCTGGAGGCAGGTGCATGTGTGCCTCTGGGTGGAGGGCGAGGGAGGAGCCAGGGTTGCACTGCCCTGGCCCCTTTACTAACATTTGCCCAGAGGTGTGCATGCAGCCACCACCAATGCCAAGGAGACAATGCCAGGGATTCAGACCCTGGGGGCAGCTGTTTGCAGCCTTCCAGCTGCCTGCCACAGTCAACCCTGACTCTGGGCAGCTGCTGTCTGCATGGAGCCCGGGCTGCTTGCAGCAGGGCTTGCAGCTTCCCAGCTGCCTGCTGTGAGCAACTCAGCTTCTGTGGCCAGTGGCAGCTATCCAGAGCCTGAGATGGCTGTGGCATGCCAAGCAAAATGGCCTTTCGCGCCATGCTCTGACATGTGCTGGGGGTTTCTGATCCCTGGGATACAGGGATATCATCCTGCTTCATTCCAAATACAAAACAGAAATATTTATTGGATGCTGCTATGTCAGTATTCATAACATTACCATCTGCATCTAATTAGTTGACCAAAAGCCTTGGGAGTACTTCTGTAAGATGGGACTAATGACACAAACCTCCTCTGAAAGCACTTCAAAACATTCTGATTAAAAGATCTATATGAGATTATGATGATTTTTACTGTTGCTGTTATTGTTATTATTATTGCTGCTACTGTTATTATTACATCTGTTATCTTTTAACAACTGAAGGATCTAGCCTCTTGACTATTTAAGAGATTCAAGTTAAAAAGTTTTTACATCTTTGCATAAATAAATTCCAGTTGGCTTGTGGGTTCAGAGGTCCTTCTAGTCTTCAAAAGAAGAATGGCATAGCTGTAGGAAAGTCAGACTGAGCCTGAGCCAAATCCTTGTGAAGAAAAAGGAAAACTCTGGTTTTCTTCCATGAGGTTTTGGATCATGGCTGTTATCACAACCTGAGGAAGAAAAGTAAACCAAAAAGAACAGATATCAGTGAAAGAGAAGGGCAATCAAGGTGGCAAACAAGTTAAAAAGTATTTATAGTGAGCTGAATGTAGGCATGTTATTAAGGACCAACTAAATGACTCCTATTAACCTTGAAGGACTTTTGACAGGTCCCGTATTAAACTGGACTCAATGAAAGTAATTTTCATATGAATCCCATCTATCAAGAAAATCATTGCTTCTTTCTGTTACACTGAAAGCGATTCTTCTGTGTGAAGTGGCTGCTGAGTGGGACAGGGACCTCCATGTTGGAGCCTTTCAGTGCATCATTGGGCTTTTGATCAGGCCTAGAGCTAAACTCCTGTTTTCTGGCTTGAAAATGGAAAAAGTGCACAAGTAACAAAGGAGTATACTCTAGTTATTCATGAATTATTAGCTTTAAAGACAAAGTACTAGAAGCAAGGATTAGAGCCAGTGTGGGTTACTTAGCCACTGTCTTGAAGGCTGAAAGGCAGTGATAAAGCAAAGAGAGGGACTGTGCTTTAGGTATAATTTCTGCCCCAACTTCTTTGCCTACAGTGGGATTGATGTGAGCTAAAGCCACATTAAATGCACTGGCTGCTTTTGGATTTGGTCTGGGACTTTGCCTTCATGTGAATTACAGACTTTAAATAAAGCACAGATCAGCAGCTGTCCAGGCCAACACTGGAAGAAGCTGTTGTTTTAATATCACTTATAAAGCAAAACCAGAGGCTTCTTTAGCTTTTTTCGAAAATCATTGAGCAGGGGTAGTCAGCTTTGAGAAATGCAGTTAATTTGCATCAAAAGTACTAATGAAAATATCTTTCCTGCCATCTATAACAGTCCCTCGCAAGCCAACTTCTCAATGGCTGTCAGGTGCTGTTACACAAGGAACTACATATAACTGTAATAGCAGAATCTCATCCTTGAAGAGTTTGATCTGGTCAGTTACAAATGTTCCTAAAGCCTCATAAAAGTCACCATAGATGCCAAGATACTATTATGATGCATGTGGTACAACTCCCTAGAGCAATGGGGGAATGAATGGATATTTACAGCTTTCCTGAACTGAGATTCTTTACCTGTAAATTGCTTCACATGGTTGTCAAGCACCATTTTAAGGTAGTCAACCCTCAATGAATGTAGGCTGTTAATAATTTTGACCAGGGGTTTTGCCTGAGAATGTGCATAACTTCAAGTACATTAATACTCTACATTTCAGCATGACCTAGACAAACTGGAGGACTGGGCCAAAAGGAATCTCATGAGGTTCAACAAGGACAAGTGCAAAGTCCTGCACTTGGGATGGAACAATCCCATGCACTGATGCAGGCTGGAGGCTGACTGGCTGGGCAGCAGCTCTGCAGAAGAGGACCTGGGGGTTACAGTGGAAAATAAGCTGAATGTGAGCCAGCAGTGTTGCCCTTGTTGCCAAGAAGGCTAATGGCGTACTGGGTTGCATTGGTAGGTGTGTTGCCAGCAGGTCAAGGGAAGTGATTATTTCTCTTTATTCAGCACTGGTGAAGCCACATCTGGAGCACTATGTTCAGTTTTGGGCCCCCTACTACAGGAAGGATATGGACAAATTGGAGAGTCCAGTGGAAGGCAATGAAAATGGTGAGGGGGCTGGGGCAAATGAGTTATGGGGACAGGCTAAGAGAACTGGTCTTATTTAGTCTAGAGTAGAGAAGGCTGAGGTGGGATTTAATTAGTGGACTTCAACTACCTGAACGGGGGTTCAAAAGAGGATGGAGCTAGGCTGTTTTCAGTGGTGGCAGATGACAGAACAAGGAACAATGATCTCAAATTGCAGCAAGGGAAGTTTAGATTAGATTTTAGGAAGAATTTTCTTACTAGGAGGGTAATAAAGCACTGGAACAGATTACCTAGAGAGGTGGAGGAATCTCTATCTTTGGAGGTTTTCAAGACCCGGCTAGACAAAGCTTTGGCTGGGATGATCTAGCTGGGGGTGCTCCTGCTTTGAGCAGAGGTTGAACTAAATCCCCTCCTGAGATCCCTTCCAACCCTAATTTTCTATGATTCTAATAGTCCCAGGGAAATCAGTTCTTGAAGTTAGACACATACTTAGCTACTTGGCTGAAT